TTTTTTTTTTTTTTTTTTTTTTTTTTTTTATTGCGACTCGACAAAATGACTGCACCGCGCCTGATGGAAAGTGCGAATACAGTCCAGAGATGAGAGTAACGGATGGAAAACACAAATATCTTCACTCCGTCACTATCATTTTGCCGGTCTGGCCAAATGCACTGGATGTACACCAACTGATCCCTGAACGCGATTCGCAAAAGCGTTTCACTGTGGAGGGTTTTCCGCCGTGTGTACTGTGGTCGCTATCCAGTCGGCACAGAGCCTACCACAATGCTAAGCAGATGGACACTTGTGACGCCCTCGGTCGCCTCTTACGACCCCCACGGGCATGTATGGGGAGGCGACAATGTATTCTTAAGCCGTCGCCCCACGGCTAAAATACAGTCCAAAGATGAGAGTAACGGATGGAAAACACAAATATCTTCACTCCGTCACTATCATTTTGCCGGTCTGGCCAAATGCTTCTTCACACTACGTTTGAAGGACCCGATGTTATAGAGGGGAGGGAATACATGCGCCGGGAGTTGGTTCCACAATTTGATGGTTCGGCATAAAAACGAATTGCCAAACTTTTTAGTGCGGGACGGTATTGAACTGACCGTCCAACTGTGGCAACGCAGTCCGGCACGGGTGGTCCGCTGATGGAAAGGAGAGGAAGGGATAAGGTTGAATAACTCTTCAGAGCACTCACCGTGGTATAAGTTATTTATTCCTTAATGGCGGATAATACTAATAAAAAACGCCAACATTAAAGCGTGAAACACACAGGGACCGGGTGAGGGTAGGGCGCGAGTCGGGTCGGGACCAAGATGGGTCTAATTCCGTGTATTTATATGGATGACAACACTCTGTATTGCCGTCCCTATACACCCTTACTTCTGACTCAGAGTACACTGTTTTGATCGAGGGTTCTTTAAATATAAATTAATTATTAAACCTTTTTGAGGATAGCCTCAATCTTTTTTTTTTATAATAACGCACACACTCAACATAGCCCCGCACTAGGGAAACCCTTTGTCGCGGGTGCCATGGACACATACATAGACAAACACAAATTACACCCAAACTCATGAGAGAAATAAATGTAGGCCATACAAATATTTCTCCCGGCCCGAGAATCGAACCTAGGACCTCTGCGTGGCAGTCCGGCATGGTAACCGTTCGGCCACGGAGGCAGTTAAATCTCCAAAGTCGACCTTTTCCCACTTGTCCATCCACATATGCTCTATAAATTTGTGACACTACTGTACTATTAACCATCATTTGTAGACTCCAAAGACATACTTTTCTCCATACAATTGAAATATTTATAATAAAGTAGTCTTAACAAATAAAGCAAATAATTTTTACTTAGCCCAAGAAAGACGCCTTAATTATTTTGCGAAATGAGAAAAATGCATCATAAAATGTAACTAAATAATGTTGGTGACTAAATACCACAGTACCTTCGCATTAAAAATACCTTCTATGTGATTGGCTTATTTAAATGTCGTACTCCGCTTCAAGCGATATTAAAGCTATGCCATTGGTTAGTTTAAATTTCGAACTGAATTCTTAATGCGATTGAACTGTGATTGTGTCTCGCAGCATAAACCCAACATCCAATGCCAATTCACAATGAGGTAAGGTAGTAGACCATGATGGCCTTAGTGACGCGTACCCAGAAGTTGATATAGATGATGTTGGCTACTATATTATATGCTTATGAAGAGCCGAATTGTATTGACCCGAGTAATAATTTCAGTGTTTGAAAGCTCCAGCGTACTTCATAATATAAATCTAAGAGCGCCTTTAAACTTCAGTGGTACGATTGAAGCGCGTAATTATTAATTTTTTATTCGGTAATTTTTAGTTTGCTTATTGTGATTGCAAAAGTGGGGCGCGTGTGTCACTACAGCGGCGTTGCAGCTGCGCTTCTAAATATTGTATGAACATTTGTAGAAGCGCGGCTGCAGCGCCCCAATGGTGCCACTGCAGCGTTTCTATAGGCGTCTTATTTGAAGGCGCCTTAAGAAAACTTCGATGAAAAATGTTTTCGCTTGATTGGAGGTATGTAAAATGGTTGAAAATGCAGTCAATGTAATAACAAAATTATGAGAACATTAAAATTATAGAGGGCAGCCTTACTCTGTTTTATAATTGGATTTTTAATAGAAAAAAAATGCCGGGGCTTTTGAAGTTACGAGTACAGTTTTTACAGAAACTCATTTTATTTTAAGTATATTACGAAGAAAGAAATTACAAAAGAGTTTATTCCGAAAATTCCAATATTTACGAATTCAAAGTTTTTGTTTAAAGTGATGGAAGATAATGTGATTTAAGTGAAAACAAAAATATTGATTCCCGCCGCTTAAAAGACTATTCAGAAAGCCCAAACAAGAGAACTAAGTTATGTAAGAGAAAGTGAAAACAAAATGTATTACCACAATGGAAAATATTACTGAGGATCCCGATAATTAAACGAAGACATGGCTTAAAGGGCTTGTATCCAAGCCAAAACTCTTAATAAAAAAAGATTTTTAATTAGACTTAACAAACTGACAGCTACTAGTGTCACTTTGAAAAATAATGTTGCCATATTTTTTATGTAGTGATTGATGTGTTGAGTTCAGTGCTTAATCAACTCAATAAAACAGCATCAGTCAAAAAGAAAGGCAAAAGATTTTTGACTGAGTAGCAGTAGAGGGGTAATTTTCAGGTAAGTTTTTTGTACTTAATGTTGGTGACAATTTCTTTTTATTTAAATATTTATAGAATATCATCACGAAGTATTATTTAACATTCGAGTGTGGTAACCTGAAATATTCTTTAATATTTCACGATGGTATATTCGAGTAGTTAAATAATAAAAATTGTCACCAAAGTTGAGTACAAAAAGCTTACCTGAAAATTACTGAGAGCTCCTTGTGAAAGAGTTCGTCCAGGGTAGTACTGCCACTTTATGACCTTACCTAATTTCTACTGCCAAGCAGTAATGTGAGCATTACTGCGTTCCGGTTTGGAAATCGCAGGCAAATGGGACTTGTCAACTTATGCCTTAGGGTGACTGACGCAATTTCAGTGCCCCTCAGACCTCAGATTTTTTTAAATTAATACATACTAATCATAACCTCAAAACAACACAAACGTCATTTCACGTTGGCGGACTGCCCTCTTAAGGATGAATAAAGAAAGATATTAACAAGGCTGGGCAAAACGCGTGGTATGTGTTAATTAAAATATGAATTACAATATACTTTCTTAAATGTATTTAAAATACGATACACAAAATGCTTTCATGAGGTCCATCGAAAATATAATACATGAATTAATTAATACGGTATTTTATTTGGAATATAAAATAATTATTACCATAAACCGGAAACGACGAAAGTATTTAAAATACCAATTATTACAAAATACATTTTTACGTAGTAATTGATATGGAAATGCACAATAATGTACTTGTATTTCAAATACTTATTTCAATTATTCATAAGTAATTCAAATACTGCCCAGTCTTGGATATAAATGACAAAATACGTAAAGCTAGCAAGGGATTGTTACCAAAAACTTTATCAAATAGTCCACTTGTTTCACAATATAAAATGAAACTATTTTTTCGGATTCAAATCGCATATTATTAGTTTATTACGAATTACTTAGTAGAATAAAAAAGTTATCGACAAATTTTGTGCGTGGGTAATATTCAGGTTAGTTCTCTACCTAATTTTGGTGGCAATTTTTATTATTTAATTGTTCGAGTATATTTACGTGAAATATTAAATAATATTTCAGATTACGACTCTCGAGTATTGAATAACGCTCCGTGATAATATTCTAGAATATTTAAATAATAAAAAGTGCCGCCGAAATAAGGTACAGAAAACTTACTTCAAAATAAACCTCGTTAAAATAAAATATTTTGCAAAACGTATGATACCGTAAATTTCAAATTATTTGGTACATTACAAAAAAATATTATTTAAAATAACTATAGTGTAGATTACAGTGGTTAGCCATAACTGGTTGATATCTTTACCATCTCATTCACCTCTATTTATTTATTACAAGCACATGGGACTTGTCAACTTACGTCTCAGGGTAATTGATGCAGTGGCTGTGTCCCTCAGATATTTGCGATTTAAAACTGTGAGTAGCACTGCAACTGTTGTGGACAGGCGTGCTGCTAACCACCAGACGCACTACTTGTCTCTCCTCGGTCAGGCGTGACCAGGGCCCGAAATGTTGGTTTGTTTGAAAAAACATATATACCTACGCCATTTTCGATCCGAAAAAAATTTTCATTTCATTTTCTAAAAGTATATAGTTTCCGATATATCCCTTGCAATGGAAAATGACATCAAATTGATGATATGAAATAAATACAAGCTTTTTATTTTCTGAATCAAATTTCAATCGATCTATCGGACTTTGAAACTTACCCCATCACATGCGCCTCTCTCAGCATTTCGGATTCACCGGAAATCAATTCCGCTATCTTTTCTTCCGATATACCAGGCTTGCCCATTTCCTCTGTAAAAAAAGACAGTACTTAGTAA